ACGCCTGACAGCCGGGCGTAATTTCTAGTTCTTAGTATTACTGCCAGGAGCTATTAGTAGGGTTTTGTTACCAGTAGCTTCTTGTTTTCAGTATCAATGCCAGGAGCTATCAGTAGCGTTTTGTTGCTTCTTGGTCTTAGTATCAATGCCAGGAGCTATTAGTATCGTCTTGTTATTAGTGGCTTCTTATTCGTAGTATTCATGCCAGGGGCTATTAGTATCGTCTTGTTACTAGTGCTTTCTTATTCTTAATATGAATGCCAGGAAAATGTCTTCTTACTAGTAACTTCTAGACAGAGACAGAGGACCCAGCCCTGCCCAGATCCAAACCCATGGGCCTATGTTGCCACATCTTGAGGCAGTCTTGGCCGTGTTTTCCATATCCTAGGTTGGGTCAGTGTGGCTATGTGTGCCATATCTGGGACAATGTTGGGCCCTTTGAGGGCCTCTGTCAAATCATCTTAGAGTACATATTCCGCCTTTACTGTCAGCACCTACCCAACACCCACGAAATGTCGATTGAGCCTGTCCGCGCGGCACGCATAACCGACACCACCGGCGCCCTGTTAGGCGAAAGTCGTGGCCGCCGAAGGCCACGAAACACTGTAAAAAACAATGTTTTTTGCATATCCTGCCCAAAAAACCCGGATTCGGGCAGGGGTCGAGCGGGGATTGATTAGGATTTGAACGCTATTGTTCAAGAGGCTTCCCATATTTTTCCTGCATCTGGCTTCTATTTTTCAGCGACGACTGTGCTTTTTGTGTGGCAAATTTCGTTTCAGGCTTTCTATCGATAGAGCTTTGTTCGCGACCCGTTGCTTCTGTGTTCGCAACCGTTCGCAACCGTCCACAGTAGAGCGCCAACGCGCTACCTTTGGGGGAAGTTTTTGCAAGTGACTTTTCTTGGATGTGTTACGTGTCAGTTTACGCCGCTATTCCATTGTGATTTGCATGAAAAAGGACATGTCGCGCAAGAAGCGTGATGCATTTCGCTGCACAGGCGCAGCGTTTTGTGAGATCCGTACTTTGCTACGCAGTTCCATTGGCCTTTGGAGAGTCGTGTTTTTGGGATGTTGGATGTGGCCGTGCCATTGGGACTTGCGTTTGAGGGTGTGGCATCGAAACTTTGTTTTCGTGACACGTCTCATCTGAAATGCCGATTTTGGACTCTGGGGGCGTGTTCAGAGTTCAGAACGGGTCGAAATCATTCCAAACGTGTGGTTTGGTGCAATTTTTGTTGAAGCTCACGTGAGATGACATTGTCACTTGTCGTGGCAGTTGCAGGACTTGGTGCGGGTTTTGAGGTGAAAGTGTGATTTTCGTGGCAGGCGCAGGGAATCATGAGGTTGCATTTCGTGATGGGCGCAGTATTTTGAGGTGTGGAAGTGGGATTTTCGTGGTGGACGTAGGGAATCATGAGGTTGTGATGTATGACAGAGGTGACATTTCGTGACAGGCGCCGTACTTTATGTGCGTGAAACGTATGGATGCAGAAAGATTCGCGGCCGGTGCAGGGAAAGGCTGTCAATTGTGGTACAGGTGAATGTCGTTGGCGTTTGAATGGGTGTCGTTTGGAGGGACTGGTGTGAGGCAAAGAAGTGCAAGGTGGAAGATAAAGAGCCTGTCTCCATCATGCCGCATTCTCGGAACCGTTCCATCCAAGCTGCCAAATATAATCCTGCTTTCAATTGAAGAAAGACAGGCTCTAAGAAGAACGCAGGAAAGAGAAAGGCCAAAGGCAAAAACCCACAAGAGTGTCCCACAAAATTTTCCCACAAGAGTGGCCCACAAGAGAGTCCCTCAAAGAGTTTCCCACAAGAGTGTCCAACAAGAGTGTCCGACAAGGTGAACCGAAGAGAACAAGCGCCGTGCCCACGTTGTTCACGTAATGCATGAGCGCGCGCAAGCACAGGTTGGAAACAAGTTGCTAGGCTCAGTATATGGTCCAGGATATACCATGCATTGAAACTTGAAGTTGTTTGATTGTCTGTTGAGATTGCCACACTCTGCCACTGGTTCTTTGTGCTGCAGAGCAGGCTCAGAAAAGGCTTCATGGACAGGCAGTGCCGTGTCATTCACTGTGAAGCTCAACACAGAGGACTTGCACAAGAATCGAGAAACACCAAGCGCATTCATTTGCCAGCTGGGCGTAGTTGATTCCAGGCTTCCTCTCAACCTGACAGCGCAGAAAGGTGCGTGGAACACCAGACCCAGAAGCTGCGGTGAACAAGTTTTTACCTGTGCATATATCAGGGCTTCACATTCCATATTGTTGATATTATTGCGCAGTTTTATGAACGGTGTCCTTGTTGGACTGGATGTTGGTCACTATCCCCGTCCTCCTTTCCACCAGCGCTGAATCAGCATGATTTTGTTGAACCTCACGGACCAGCAAGAGACTTCAGAATGGTTGGGGGGTGTGATGGTCCCAAAGGAGATCCTGAGGGCCCTTTTCAGTGGGGGCCTTGTTTTTGTCAATGTTTGCAATTGATTGTTGGTTGGTTGAAATGTATTTTCTTTCTACCTTTCAAAATTAGCGCCAAGGCGCTGTCAAGGCTGTGCATGGGGCTCTTGTTGTGCATCCAACTGCATAGGATGGATGTTGCGACTTTCCGCTATGTAGCTGGGGGCTTTGTTGTTGGTGGTCGCTCTGTGGAAGTCAGCCACAAATGTGCAAAAGAAATCATCAAGGGCCACCTCGGGTGACAAGGCGTCCAACTTTCAGACCAGTCATCCTGGGAAAGGCTTTGTGTGCAGTTGGACTTCAAATGATATCCCACTGGTTTTCGAGGTGCACCATCAGTCCAGTTGGTTTTATTTCTTGTGCTCCAAATGGTCTGCATGTTTCACCTTTAAACCCAACTTGTAAGCCTGCCTGCTGCCCCATCAGGAGGAGTCAGGCTGAACACAGTCTCAAACACTAAGTGTGTGTTGAAACTGGAAAAAGGTTGCAAGAATATATATATGATAAATTACATGCAGGCTGTTAAAAGCAAAAACCTGCAAGTTCATTGCGGTCATTGCTTTTGTCAAAAAAAAAATCCAAAAACACCCACCACCATCTGAGCTGAACATTTATGGTCCAACCCTGCGCCAACAAGCGTGGTGTCATTTTCAGGTTTGTGGTGACTGTGGTGAATCCCAGTCTTCAAGGGCTCAGTGGGTCTGGGGGCAGTGAGTGTGGTGCGTGGTGGTGGAGAGGCTCGTAGTTGTCTCCAAGGTTCCTGGATGCGATCCTTCTCAATGCGACCTTGCACACCCACAGGGTGACTGGTGCACACACACACACACGCAGAGGTGTATAAATGTATAAAAACATGTTTCAAGCCTGGGGTGGATTCTTGTGGAAGACCTGTGTGTGTGTGTGCAAGTGGTGGGTCATGTGGCATGCTTTGCTTGCTATGGCTTCTTCCCTTAGTCATGTGGCATGCTTTGTGTGCGATGGTGTTCTCCTTAGTCATGTGGCATGCTTTTAACACTGTGGCTGGCCATGTTGCACACTGGAAGTGTTGGTCATATGACATGCTGGCCAGATGGGTGGTAGTGGAGCATGGTTTTGCGGAGCACTTTCATAACACTTCTCAGACCCAATTGCCATTAAAATGGACCCACTTACCGCTAAAGTAACTTAAGGGTGTCCCACAAAAGTTTCCCACGAGAGTGTCCCACAAGAGTGTCTCACAAGAGTGTCCCACAAGGTTGTCCTACAACAGTGTCCTACAACAGTGTCCCACAGGAGTGTCCTACAAGATTATCTTGCAACACGTTCCTGCAAAAGGGTCGAGTGTCTGACAAGAGCACCCCACAAGAGCGTCCTACGAGCGTGTCACACAAGGTTGTTCCGTATGAGTGTCCAGAAGATTGTCTCACAAGAGTGCCCCACAAGAGTGTCCCGTGTGAGTGTGCAAAGAGTGTCATTTGGACATATGCATCTTTCGATTGTGTTCACAAAAGAGTGGGCATACAAATAAAAAAAGGACTGAAAGTGAAAGTATGCTGTGATTGAAGGTCGGAGCAAGTGAGAGTGCCTGTGACGAAATGTGTATTTTAAACGTGCCTCCTCACCCCAAGGGTGCAGAAAAATTAAAACATGTTTTCTTCAACAAAAGGACCACTGCCACGTGCTATGAATGATATTTTAACATGCTGTCCAGGGTCGGGGCACGAATGTGGTCATCCTTCCCCATTGCAAACAGACAAGGGCCCGGAGTCACAACGAGCAACAATTGACGTAACCTGGAAGTTCAATTGGTCTGTGCTGTGCTTCGACTTCAATGCCTCATACGTTTTTGGTCCCCGGGAAGGCATCATGCACCTTCGACAGGTTTTCATCGGTCTTGGTCTCTGTTTTGCAGGGGGTGCTTGATGGGACTTTGGTTCGGCCGAAGTTCACCAACAGGAGCTGCCCACTGCTTGTAGAAGCTAGAAAGAAGTTCACGCCATTTTGGATCAAACACTGGGCATGTGAGAAACATGGACCGTACATCGCTTGGCAGAACTAGCTTGTTGTCAGCAATTTGACAGCATTTCAATTCTGATGGAGACTGATCCTTCGGGAGATCTTCCTGCCGCGGCTGCGCCTTGTAACTTGGCCAGTCTTCCAAGCCTAGCGACAATTGCAACCAAAGGAATGGCCCGAGATGTAAGTAGAGAATGATCTGGAAACACAAGGGCTGGTTGATGAATGTGGTCCCTCAGATTCAGCCAGCTCCACCAGCCTGCTGAAGCGCAGCGCCAGTAAGACAATGTGTAGGTTGCCGCTCAGCACCTCTGCAGCTGACCACCAATTTTCGAAAGAAGCGCAATTGGGTGTCCATGTGGAAGCTCATCTTGAATGCCAGGAGATGCAGAGGAGGTGCATGGCAAGGAATACAAAAAGGAAAAAGGATGCAGCTGAAAAGCACCACATGACAATGCCCAACATTTTGCCAGGAACTTCTGCAATGGTTTGAGCTTCTCTGGGGTGTTGGGGTCACTGTGGTCTAATTCGGCTGCCGCTGTCAGATAAGTGCAATGACCGATGAACGGGTCCATCCCTTGATCTGGTCAACTGTCTGATGGTCGCAAGCCACGGTCGTGTGCAGCAAAAGAACATGAACAAATACAAAACACATCAAAACAACAAACAACAAACAACACTGCACAAGCAAACATAGTGACAGTCTGTTGTCAGAAAAAAAGGCCTGAACCAGCCCCATGGTGCAATCCAATGGCTCCCGTTGAAGCTCTATGCCAGACAACAACATCAACTCAAAAGTTGTGATCCAATCTTCCATCACAGGCAGGCCATCATCTGGTTTCTCGAACCTAAGACTATCCAAAGGCACAGATGTTTTTTGAACAGGCTGCATTGTGGGTGCAATCGGTCTAAGAAGTGAACCGAAGACAAACAATGGGGATCTTTATGACCTCATCCTCCATGCTGGTGTCCAATGCCTTGGCGTTAAGCCTCACTCTTATGGGTAAGAGGTCAATGATTTGCACAACATTGGCAAGGTTGATTTCTTTAGATGTGTCAAGTTACAAAACCAGATTTCTTGTAGGGATTCAGCCCACTCTGCTTAGAAGCCCACTCCTCATACCATGTCTCCAGCTGCTTGCAATGGAGTTTCCGGTTGTCCTCTCCTGGTTCCCAAGGAGGTCCAAAACCAGTTGTGCTGGATGGGTGGCAGTGTCCAAGACGTCCTCTTTCCTAAAAGACAAGACATAGTCGACGATGTCCTATCGGTGCAACAGATGCTGTTGCAAGTAGGGCTAACATACTTTAAGTTGTACATTCATTGTCAAAATGTTCAATAGTGAGTTTGAACCCAACAGTCCCTCACCAAGCTCAGATCTCCGGTAGGTAGCTTGTCGAAGCTTGCTTCTCAGCCTTTGTTTTAAAGGGCTGGGCCATGGCAAGGGCCAAAGTTGTCCCACAAAAACCAAAATCCTCACAGAATGGATTGACTCCATTGATTCATCAGGCTTGAGTCCATCGAAAAATTTTTTGGGACTCAACATAATTTTCAATGCACTGGCCCCAGCCCAGTGCATCGACTCCCCTTTGAAAAACACGACATTGACCTTATTTTTTTCTGGTGTTTTTTTTTCAATAGCGACATTTTTTTGCAATTGCGATCAATGCACTCCCCCTAGCCCAGTGCATTGATTTTTTTGTTGGATTTCAAAAATTTTCAATGCGCACTCAATCCTATTGAATCCCCACTATCATGACCCAGATTTTCAATGCACGCCCCGACCGCCAGTGCATCGAAAACCGGGCGCCCAAACCCATGAGTGCATCGAAAACCAGGTGCCCAGCCTATGAGTGCATCGAAAACCGGGTGCCCAAACCCATGAGTGCATCGAAAATGTTGGTTGGGACCAGGCTGGAGTGCATCGAAAATCTTGGTTGGGACATTTCGAAGACGACCGAGCATCTGGGTGTTCGTATGGCCCTCTAGGTTGTTTTGGCAAAAGGTGTCAGTGTTTGCCAGAAGAGTCGGGGGCTGTCAGGGAATGATTCAACAATACTTGGACCAGATGGTCGGCATCCCTCAACTCTGGAGACCAAGGAATACCCCTTTTTAGATTAAAGGAGTATATGGCATTTACAGATAGCTGCTGCAAACCAACCTTGTTTCTTTCATCTCCTGCCTAGATGTGCCTGTTTCCGCCGAACACTGCCCTTAGTGGCATTGCCAAGGAGTTCAATACAGCTGGATGCATCACCATTGGTGGCTCAGCCTGTCGATCAGTTGGGGGCTGGGAGTGCCATGGCAATGGCTTCAATTCAGCATCAGCCCAAAATTGGTTTTCGGCCAATTGATCCAGATACTGCACACTCTTTTGGTACTTCTCCCCATAATAGAGTGCCACAGCCCGACTCAATTCTTTCCACCGTGTTCGCAGTGCTGCGGTGTGGTTGTTTCCACGCCTAATTGGTTCTTATACCCAAAGTAGACTAAAGAACAGTGTCATTTGATAGACACTTTAAAAAGCATACAACATCTCATGATCAAATCTCACCAATAATTTTGCCAGTGTGAAGGCTAGTATCTTTAGATCTGGGACCAGGTTAAAGGTTGAAGATCGACCATGGGTCATCACCAATAAAGGAGGCTGTGCCAGAGTGCTGTCGCTGATATACTTTTTGATGAAGCAAATCATATCCTGAGGCGACCTCGCCCCCAGGAACGAGCCCCTGTTGATGCTGTCGGTGTACGAAGGCGGAACATCTGCCAAGGGCAGATGAATTGACGTGGACGGATTTATGGGGAGGATATGGAAGGGTAAAAAACTCAATTGTAAAACATGTGTTTATACACCCCTCACCTCGTCGTTGCATATTGAAAAAGTAGTGATTCCCCGTATCATCTTTAAGTAGGCCGCCTTCCAGCTTCACACCCAAGGATGGTAGATGTTGCCTCCAATCCCTGCTGGTGTTTAGTTTCTGGACTTGGACATGGGTGGTTGAATCCACCCAATCCAGGATGCTACTTTTGCAGAGTTCATCCCGCACAACCCTGACCACGTCGGTTGCATCTTGAATATTTGCTTTGCACCGGCTAATGATGCCCCAACATTGATCTTGGCTTGGTGCTTCGAGAAAAGAGAACATTCCACTCACAGACCTACAAGTAAAGAAACAATACAAAAAGGATTGGTTACAACCCAAATGTGACAAGGGGCCGATGCGGCAATGGGTGTGCGACTTTCTCAAACTGCAAAATCCAGTTGTACGAAAGCGATCCTGAGCAACCATGAGAATGAGGTACGATAAGACATACTGATTTTTGCACTGGGTCAAAACAACAGGTATTTATTGCAGTTTGGTGCAGCTAGTGTGCCCACACAAAACAACTAACATCCATTATAAAATCCATAACAACCCATCGCGTTGCTCAGGCACATTGAGCAGGAGGCAAGTCGGCCGTTTCCGACCGTCCTGCTGGCAGATGGTCATGACCTGGGATGGGGGCAAAACCCTCCAGCGGTTCCTTCTAAAGATCCCTGGATATTCCCTGGCAACAAGAAAGAAAACAATAACACGATTGAGAAAGAAACTTGTTTGTTTTGCTGAGTCTTAGGTGCATCTTCTATGGTTTGACTCAAAATCTCCAGGATTGCTGAGCTGTCATGGCGACAAACCTCGTCCATGATGTACACATTTAATGTATACCCAAATGCCCATGCCCCATGTATTTTGACACGGGGCCTCTGGTGCTTTGCCCTTAGCTGCTAAAATACAGAACTTGGTGCACCCTATTGGATTTGTGCCTGAAAGGGGTCAAACCAGAACATCCAAACAAGATCAACATCCAAAATACCTATCACGAAATAGTTGTTGGACAGGGACATGGTTCAGAGCAGCGTTGTTCCGAAGTTCTGGCTCTCTTGGCAGGGCAAATTTAGATTGGTCTAAACCATCCGTAGATATCAAAAGAACCTCGCTGTTCGGTTCTGCTGACTCAGCCAGAAGTTGCCAAATCACAGTGCGATCACTGTATTGGCTGTGCAAATGACCTCTGTAGTTCTTCAAGGATTGCAGTTTTCTTTCCAAGGATAGGCTTTTATAGCATACCTCGCAAGTTGTGAATAGATTGCGGGATCTGAAGCGGAGAATGTCGCTCCATCGTCGCTTGTAGATATCTAAGAAAGTTCCATACCTGAATCTGGAGTCTTGTTTTTTTTGGTGTGCCCCAAATCCAACAACATAACCAACCTCCTACCCACAGTTGACTAACGTGGCTGAAACACGACACTGCGTATCCTCCCAGCAATGATTGTGTTGCCTGGTAGTGCTCAAACAAATCTGCCACTATTCCTGGTGGCAAGAACTTCCTGACAAGCACCTCGCCAGGAAGCAAGTTCTTTGTCTTGAGGTCGCAGGAGCTGAGCCACTCCCTCAGCTCATCTTCGTTTTCCAAGTCTGAGCCTACTTCTTCAAAGTTGCTATCCTCATCGTCGTCTAGATCTTTTTTTGGCTCGGCCTCGACGAACAAACCTGGGGTTGGACTGTTCTCCCTAACAGGACAATGGTTGATGAATGTTGATGAATTCCCTTAAAATCATTCAGGGGTCTTGGGGGGGCAGCTTTGATGAAACACCTTTGGAGTCTAGAAGAGAAACTGGTCTGGTAATGTTTCGGCTATCGAGTCATAGGCCACCTGGAAGAAAGCGTCAGCTGTCCAAGTCCCGGGTTTGCTCCGGTGAGCCTTCTTTCCGTGCCGGAGGTCCGGAGCAGCATGTGCTGATGCGTTGCGGAGGCGAGATTTTCCAACAGCTACCAGGGAGGCCAAGCATTTGAAACCAATCGGATGGCCCAGAAGAGTCCAGGCTTGAGTAGGTCCACTCCCAGTTGAAGAGGTCTGCAACTTAGTTGAACTGAGAGAACAAATCAACCCTGCAACAACCTAAAGCAACAACCTAAAGAATATCAGTGGCAACAAAAGCAAAATAACATTGACGCTTATTGCCACAGGGCACAAGTGAATCTTGGTCTTGCTTGTTCAAGTCCCAGAACTCACCAATGAATTGATGTAACTCTTTGGACTGAGCGAACTGCTTGAAGCAGGTTTTGCTGGCACCTGGGAAACTACAGTAGATTGGGGCTAGGTCGGGCAAATTGGCCCACCCAAACAAAACCCAACGATATAGTATACTATATAGCCAAATTTAGTGAACATTGTACGTATATTTGCTTCCATGGCACATAGACAGGAGTCTTTCTGAATCAAAGAGTTTATTCTCGAAGGATCGGAACCATTCTTCTTGTACACCCCAGACTTCTCTCTGAGATACAAAGCATTGGCACTGCGGTTGGTCTTGTCATACGGCCGTTTCTTCTTGGCTATTGTTTGGTCGTCCTGATTTTGTTTCCAGAACGTAGCTTGCTTGATGTTGATCATGGCTTGCCAACCCAGGGCAAACACGCTAGATGATGTCATTCTAAAGTCATCATCATCAACCCCACGCCCTTCGCTGTCAGAAGCAGATTCTGCCTCAGAATCCTCTGCGCCAAACAGTTGGTTTGGTTTAGAAACCTTTTGACTTTTTGCTGGTTGGTTCAGCTCGTCCTCACCCACTTCATCCTGAAAGGGCTTGACCCCTTTCTTTTTTCACTGGTTGGGTCCCAACACGAAGAGTGGGCTGACGGACCTGCTCAGCTCCTTCAGCGGCGAAGGCCTTGGACGGCGGCTTCCTGCTTAAGGCTTTCGAAGCAGGCGCATGGCTCAAAGAAAGAAAGGGAATGGATCTAGCACTGGATTCTCCACTCTCTCTCCCAAAAGGGGGCATGGAGCTAGATATTTGCAGGAAGTGCCAAATTCAAGCAGCACAGGATTGCCTGACAGCACACGTTTTCATGTTTGAGTTTGCACAGCGTCAAGATTTTGGACAGCGTGGTCGCTTTGGTGCATGGAGTCATGTTCACCCTAATTTTGGGGCTTCCCCCTTCAACATTCTTAATTACAGGCCAAGGAATCTTGGCTTAGCTATGTGCTCTCAACACACAGCAGCATCATGAGAAGCATGAATCCGCCGCATGGAATGCTCATTCCATTTCCAGCCATCTTCCTCACACTGGCAGAAGTGCAGTCAGAGAGGTCGACGCAATCCTTGCAAGGTTACAGACTAGTAAGAAAAAGACAACACAGCAGTAGTTGGTTAGAAGAAATCATTGGGGTGTCCAAATAAATTGCAACCATTGTTGCCAGGAGTCTACGTTTGCAGCCTGTGCAATCTCCTTGATGCACGGGTACCCAAGTGCAGCCATTTGTTCCTCCCCAGACATGAGGCGCTTCTTTTGATCACACCTCAGCCCATCAAAAGTCAGAGACACTTGGCACTAGTTTTGGACACCTTGTTTCAAACAAAAGTCAGAGATCAGGTTAGTTTGGCCAAGTGGCCAGAACTGTGATGATGTTGTCAAACACGGAAGTTCTGAATGACGGGTCTCTGTGCGTGCGCATTTTTCGCAATTGGCTGACAAATCGTATAAGCGCTTGCGAGGGAGCTCGGTTCTGAACTTGTCCAAATGCCGCTTTTGGCACCTGAGAAGCAGCCATACCCAACATCATTAACCACATGCTCGAATCCCAGAAGAACCAAACTCAAAGACTCTTTGCGGAAGAACTGCCAACAAACTTTAAATCAGATTTGGCACTCTGTCAAATCCTGCTCTTGAACACATGTCATCGGAGGCTGTGGGCGTAGATAGATACTGTAATTCAATTTGGTCATCTGGAGCGGGTCTCCAAGTATCATCTTAGCAAGTTCCTCTAAGCTCCACCTACTGTTCCACTTGCGAAACCTGGCATGATAGCAAATTCTCCAGGCCCTCAACCGGTTGTTGGGATGTCCGAACATCTTGGGTCCAGCCTCAGCAGGGCAGTCGGACTGAGGTGCTGGGAGGATGCGTTTTCTGGGAGACGACCTCAACGTGAACATGAAGCTGAGGACACGGCAAAACTGTTTGGATCTTGTGGGTAGCCAGGTTCTGCTCGAGGAACTCCTGGATTTGAGGGGTGAAGCTGAATTGAATGCTTTAGGAAGCTGGGGCTCCTTGTCGTATCCCGGGACGTTTTCATGCAAGGATAGGTGGACCTTCTTCTGGAACTTGATGGATGCTTTCTGACAACGGCTTTTGACTTTGTTCGTAAAGCCTTCCCCAAGGCCATACCTGAGACTTGCAAAAGTCTTGCTCGCACACTACACCAAAAGAATTTGAAGTGAAGACAGTGTGTGCGCATGAAGAATACTACATAAAGCACGCCCTGCTACAAAGAAAATAGGACGCACGGAGCTCCCACCAAAGCAACATCGTTGGCCTCAAAGGAGATGTTGCACCTGATCAATTACAAGGAGGCACATTGGGTGAGGGGTGTTGAAACATCTCAATTTGAGCGCACCTGTTTTTGTGACAGCCTACTCAATAAACATCAATCCCAGGCACATTTTCTTGTGAACTCCGCAGTAGGCTGTCTTGTTCATTTTCAATACAGAAGGCTTCCACTTATCAATTCCAGTAGATGCTGGCGTTACCATATTCAATATGTCAGTGAAGCAGCAGCATTCACCCCACTGCTCCTTGTGCAAGCGGATGCAAGCCCGGTTCAACTCTACCTTGGTGTTTGTGTTTTGTACGAATGTACGGACATGGTGCGCTTGCAACTACATAGGACTACCAATTGCAAAGCCCAAGCTGCGTTGAAATCAAATGTGAGGCCGGAATCAATGCCCCATCGACGTTTGGCGGCGCTGCAGATCATTTTCCAGGCCTGTCGGAGACAAAGTGCTCCGCCGAAGAGGTCGAAGGTCTTCCACTGGCATGTACCTGAGGAAGTGTGCGGTGAGTACTGTGTTATTTTTAAGTGTTTGTGTCAAGTTTCAACAGTGGTGATTGCAGCCAATTTGCGAATCTTGTTCTTTACAAATCTATCCCCAAAGATGCGAGCACATCGGTCGAGCAAAATCTCCGCCCAAGACCTCACGCTAATCTTTAGAAATTGAATAAGAACAGAATAAACTTTAAGATACTTTAAGCCCCCTCAGACCACGGCCCCAATTCTGCGAAGCTTGTTGGCATCGGATAGGGTCGCCTTGCCGAAATTGATCGAAGGGTTGTGGGCAAGATACTTTTTGTTGCATAACATGCTTCTCAAAGATATAAAAGGAGTAGGTCAAGTTACAAAGAATGTTCATCTTCAACATCTGAGTCGATCAGAATGCTGCTCGACCCTGCTGCGACTTGTTGCTTGTGGGCAGGACGCTTCGCTGGAGGCTTCTGTGAAGAAGAGGCCGGCCGTTTGCGGCCATTCAACAAAGCTTCCAGGTCCAGGGCCATGGCACAGATGGGGCTGGTAGGGAAATGGATGTCTTCCTTGCAATGAAACTGTTTTCCTTTTGCTTTTGCAAGATGTCAGCATCACCGAGTCAACTGCAACGGCCATGCACTTTGGACCTCTGACCTCTGATCTTTTTTCAAAACAACTTGGAAACCTGTGACCTCATGCGCTTTGAGACCTCACGCACTCAGCTTGTACTCAGCTCATTGGGGCCCCCGTGCTCCAGTTGCAGGGTGAAGGAACCTGGAGTGGAAGATTGAGAGGATCAGCGGCTCTTGACAGCAAAGGGAGCGTTTTGTTCAAAGCCATGAGAATACCACCTGGTTGAAAGACATTACTGAAGTTAACTCTTCTGCAGAACAATGGGCTCTATGATCCTTTACTAACCATCCTGGCCTTCTCATGGTGTTTGAAGGAGCTGCGCCGCGATCCTGGAGCAACATCACAAAATCACTGTCTATACTATATATATATATATAGACATAGAATAGAGACACATATATATATATAAGTTGGATGTTGCACTGGGCACTGGTTGTGCTGGAGAAAATCATGTTGAACCTAGCATCCCTCCTTTTGGAAGTGCAATAAACATATGATAGAATGAGTCGCAGTCACACAGATCCAGTCCTGCTGGAAGTGTGGGGTCTGGAATGTTTTAACCTGGGCGAGATGCGAGTAGCACAGAGGAGTCACACCAGGATCATAGGGACCATCACAGGGTATAGAAACCTTTGGCCTGTGACTCTTTTGTATTCTTTCCAGAAGCTGCCTCACTTGAGGGTTCATTGGATGGGACACTCAGGTCGAGGCTGTTCTAGCTTCCCACTCACTGCATTGTTCATAGAACCTGGCCGGTTCTTGAAAAAAAACCTGGCACGCAGGGCTGATGCACGGCCGAGATTCGGTGGCACGGCCGAGATTCGGTGTGTGTGTGATATTATGTTGGGCATATAAGTCTAAGTTTGCCTGGTTTGGATTCTTGTTTTTTCCCTCAACAAGCATGCTTGTATGGAATGGTTTTTGCTTAGCTTTTGCTTAGCTTTTGCTTGGTCTCAGGTTAGGCTTTGCATTCTTAGCTTTTGCTTGGTCTGTGGCTGGCCATGTGGCACACTGGACATGTTGGTCATATGGATGGTAGTGGAGCATGGTTTTGCGGAGCACTTTCTCAGCACTTTCTCAGACCCAGTTGCCATTAAACTGGACCCACTTACCACTAAAGTAACTTCCTTGTGGGAAACTGTTCTGGGACACTCTTGTGGGACACTCTTAAGGGACACTCTTTGTGAGACAAACCCTTGTGGGACACTCTAGTGGGACGCTCTAGTGGGACACTCATACGGGATCATTGTGGGACACTCTTGTGGCAGACTCCTTGTGGGACACTATGTGAATTTGCAAATTCTATGGTAGCACGACGTGCCGACACACGAGTTTTCCAGTCAACGAACGGAGGTCGCACACAAAGTCGACCTTTCTGCAACCACGGCCGGACCCACCCTGCTCGACGCACTTTGCAAGCTACCGAGTCACTGGACATGTCCCCACCACCGAAACTCAAATGATTCATCTTGTTGCCATGTTCTGGAGAAAACAAAGTTTTTTTTCTGTTTTTCTCCATGTGCTGGTGGTGGGTCTCCGACTGAAGATTTCCACCTCCCACCATATGGTCGAAAAGTTGGGACCTGGAGTCTGTGTTGAGGATGCGCTAGCCAATGTAATTTGTCTGGAGGGCCAAGTCACACAACGTAAAATTTCCTTGTTCGCCCACATTGCTGGAAAAAAAGGTTTTGCGCTTCTCTATCTTGGCCGCGTCGTGCTTCCATGTGTGCAATACACACAGTGTTTCATGCTCCACACACAGGAAACACAGAGAATGACAGGGGGTTCAGAGACCTGGCGGGAGGGGGCGCGCGTACCTGGCCGCCCAGGGCTGATGAGCCCCGTAACAAGGCTGTGGCGTGTTTCTGCAGCACATCCGCCCACGGGATCCAGATTTTTTTTGTATTTTTCTGCGTGTGTTCCTGACGAGTGCCTTACTAGTAGTAACGAGTACCTTACTAGTAGTAACGAGTGACGATGGGTCAACATACCCCAACATGGGCTTTGCAAACTTGTTCCTTGAAGGTGCACATGACGTTTGGCCGATGATTCACCATCAGGAACAGCCCGTTTCACTTTTCCAGACACAGATTGTTTAATTGAAGCTTTCAAGAAGGTTGACATGCATAGAGCACAATTGACCCTCTTGAAATCAACAACCGTCTGGATGACAGGTGAAAGTTCATCTTTCCCAAGGTCTGCAGGGATTTTTGCTGTTGTCCAACCAAAAATAGATGAGGCCCCTCACAAACACGTTGTCGCCTTTTGGGTCAGTTTGCCTGAGAAACCATTTATAGCTTTTGCAAAGAATTATATGGCGTTGATCAACATGAGGTCTCACCACAAGTCACAACTCGTTCGATGTGAACCTCTCCACCCACGGGCAGCACCTGCCACCACGGTGCTGCCAACTGTACCAGCATCCAAACCGCACTATGAAGCATGAAAAATAACTTCCTGTGAATGCCCACACTCAAGAGAAATTCAATTCTTAGAGCATTGGCGGTGGAAGGGATACAAAATCTCTGTCTGGTCGTAATGTAACAGAAGAATAACGTGAACTTTTTCGAAAACACAAAAATGGGGCATTGCAAGACGCACAGCCACTGTAGAAGACCCACCACCGCCTTCGGAGAAGTCGGCTTCTTGTGCAACAAGTCTGCAATGCAAATGACAAGTTTGGGCTTCGCGGGCACCACGATGTGCGGCCTGCTGCTCAATTCGCACCCAAGGGTAATAATTCAGTTGGCCAATATGACGTCTTTGGCATTCCAAATCCCTGCTGTTTCCAGGGAAGCATAAAAAATTTGCACCATTTCTGGCGAGCATGTGAATTCTGCCCGGACTTCAGGAAACGAATAGCGGTTCAACAACAACATATTTTCCAAAGCAATTCCTAACGCATTCATCTGTGCCAAAATTGTACTCTATGCTATAACTAAAAATAAACTTAAATTAAAAGGGAAAACACCATCCGTAGTAATAAGGTGCCGATCGCCTAAACCTTAATTGCAAATACGAACCAGGGTTATAACTATTTAGACACCTTTAATATAATAAAGAATATTTTATCATTACGCTTTAAGAATCATATTCGTTCATCATATATATCCAGCAACGAAGAATGTGCTCACTACGGTGGCTTTACTAGCTTTAAACTATTATAAACAACTCGGAAATATTCGAAGCCTTCTATTATTTTCATAAAATAAATTATCCCCCAACAAACATTAATCCCTTCCCACACCCCCAAAAGTTAAATAAAAAACCCTTCGCTACGTATTTAAGAAAAATAGAAATTAATAACTTCAATAAATAAAATATTCAAAGAACTAGAAAATATAAATTAATAATTTTATAATACAATTTTAATACGGAAAATATCTAAAAAATTAAAAGATGGGAATTAATAATTTTATAATATAATTTTAATATACGAAAGAATAATTTATAGAACCGGAAACTAAAAATTAACCATTCTATATTTTATAATATAATTAAAACACGCAGAATATCTAAAGAGTTAGACGATAAGAACTGGCGATTTAGTACAACTTTAGTGCGCGGATGAGTCATTTCTCGCGATTGCTCTAATACCTTTGCAACTAAGTTCTCCCGACCACCCGTTCTTTAAAAGGTTAATAAATTTTAGCTACTTTCCTTACTCAAAAATTGTGATTTCGATTATTTTCTAAAGACGTGTTTTAAGAGGTTTACAAATTTAAGCTAAGTAGTTTTGTGTCTACACAAGCTATCACATCATAGTCAACATTTAGCTCCAATTAGCTTTAGTAGGACTAGAGCTAGATGCTTCATTCATCATTCATGCGTCTGATTAAGAGACACGAAGGATACACATAATAGAAAGAACCGGGACACTCCTATAGGTCAATTTGTTCTTATAGGAAACTTCCGCCGCCGGCTTGCCCGGGAACTACTTGTAGTAACCAGACCGCAATTTTCCCTAGACGCACGCAAAATGGAATGCGGTTGTGGAGGCCATTGCTTGTAGAGACCATCGCGTAGGTTGGAGGCCATTGGACGCCATCGCTACAGCAGGTTTGGAGGCCATTGCTTAGTAGGTTGGAGGCTATAGTTGGTTCCATCGCCCGTAAATAAGATCAAAAACCCATAAACATAAGCATCATATTAAATTTTTCCTCACAACAACAAATAACAAAACAAATTTTTGAACAACAATATAATATAGATTTAAAAACAACAATATTTCCCAAACAGCCATGCTTTTGCCGGCATACTCCACTTGTCCTGCCTCCATGATGGCCATTTTGGTTTGTCACTGCTGCTGCCTTTCCCATTTCTCTGCCTGCACAATCGTTACTTTGGTTGCCGCTTCTCTACAGTAGTTATTTCTTTCCTCACAAATTTTCCCAATTGGTTATCTGTACAATCGCCGTCCTTTGCCTTGTCTCCTTACTTGTTTTCTTCTCTCCCTGTCGCCTTTGTGTGTTTCTGCTTTGCCTCCTTACTTGTTCCCGCACTTGTTTTGTTTGATCGGCGTTCTGCTTGCCACCACAACCTTGTCTGCTGACTTGGCCTTTGGAGTAAGTTGCTGTCTGGGGTCTAAACAGGTATAGTTCGAGCTTCAAACAATGTTTCGAAACACAAAAACATACTGGTGGAAAGTGCTGATCTACACCAGCCATTGTATTACTTTCTTTGTATATTTTCTTGATGGAAATGGTCCAGGATCCAATGATCATCTTGAAAGCAAACACCTCCAGGGTGATCACGACCTCATCGCCGGCGACGCTCTCGGTCACGCTCCCGCCCCTCACGACGGGAGGTGTCCTGCATGCGGTTACGTTGCAAGTTGGAGAGGACTCTTACTAGCTTCTTGTTAGCGATGCACTTGTTACTACTAGCTTCTTGTTACTACTAGTAAGGC